CTAGTAGCTTCAGAGCCTATTCAATGTAGGCAACAATGTAGAGATAAATAGTTTTTAATTTTTCACTAACCTAGAACCACGCATCGATTAACTAGAAAACGCTTTAGGCTCTGTACACATCGCGATTTTATTCCGCGCGATTTTATTCCGCGCGAATTTATTATCGCAATTCTATTACCCATTGAATCATACGGGAATGTCCGCATTTGCGGAAAAAACATAGCTTTTATTAATCTACAGATTTTTGCGTCAGTTCTAGCGGTGGAAAGATGTTACGCGGTTCGTCTCCCGTCTTATAGGCGGTCGCTGAAAATGACGTAATTGATACTGAAATGTTTATAATGTTAATTAAAAATAGGCCTTTCCTATTAAACAAATTTCTGGCAAACGATGGGCAATTGAAAACGAGGTTGCGGGAACAAATATCATCATCACCAGCCCTTTTACGTCTCCACTGCAGGGGCTCAGGCCTTCCTTATGGATGGTTAAGGAGGATGCGCCATGACCCCCCACGCTGGCCCAATGCGGATTGGAGGGTATTAACAACTGTAAGTGCAGCTAGGACTTAAGCGTAACGTGCCTTCCGAAGCATGGAGTAGCTCGAGATAATAATTTTTTGTTCACCCATCCCGCGACCGACCCTCGCGAAAGTTGCTTAACGACAACGATCGCGGGCCGTGGCGCTTATCCAATCCGCATTGGGCCAGCGTGGAGGATCATGGCCCATCCTCCTTAACCATCCACAAGGAAGGTCTGAGTTAAAGGGCTGATGATGATGATGATATTATTTAAAATAAAATTATATCTTGAAATATCGTCCAAGTTTACGTATCACGGCAAACCCAAAAAAGGGTATATATTTGTTCTATTTAGTAATTTTATATTTAGTTAAACATACAAACTGTTTTTACATTCATTTTTTGTTTGTTACAGTTTTTTCTTTACCCTTTACATATTTATCATAAAATAAATCAATTCTTAAGCTTAGTCAGCCTTTCATTAATTCGCCCAAGCATAGAACCCGTCACATGTTTACTCAGTTTTACGGTGTATGTATGATGTAATTAATAAATGACTGGTCATAAGTCAATTTGTGATTATTTTTTGACAGCTTATAATAGGGATGATGACTAATTTTTGTTTGTTTGTCCGTCAGGTAGAGTTTTAAAAAATATTAAACACGTATTTTTTTCGTAATCATAAAATTACGTCGTTACATTGAGTTGAAATTTCGCATGACGTCACGTTATGGTACGTTTTCTACTCAACTGTGACGTAGCGAGCCCCCACTCCTCAACTTTAATGCATGTTATCTAAGCTATTTCTTGTTAAATTGAAGTAAAAAAAATACGTATCTAATATTTTTCTATTATCTGACTGACGGACTAAATAGAATTGCATTTTTTTACCCAGTCATCATCCCTATTGTCCACTTTATGAACACTGCTGAGGCTCAGCTCTACCTATAAATCGAATATAATTGAACATGAAGCATATGACATGACTCACTATGCGGACTAGACGCAGCCAAAACTAAAGGCTTGTCGTGCCATCCAATGCAAGGAAGTAATCGAGATAATAAAAGAGTAACCCATCCTATGACCGGACTTAGCAAAAGTTGCCTAACTTCCGAAATAAAATATTAAGTCAGTCGTGATGAAGGCGCAGCACCAATATCTGACCTTTCATGATCCTTGTACTCAAACTATTGACCTTTATACAATACAAGTTCTGCATGCAGTGGCGGACTAACCTCGTCAGGGGCCCGGGCCCAACCGGGTAGATATTTACAAACTCGCCGCTAAGACTCTTGCTAAAACTACAAAACTGGACATAAGAAAGATAAGACAAGCCGATTTTATAATTTGGTCAAAGGAACTTGCGGCCATTTGGGGGCCCCAAAGGACAAGAGGCCCGGGGTGGAACGCGCCCCTCCCCCGTCCCTTAGTCCACCACTGTCTGCATGTTAATCAAAGGCGTTAGAAAAGCGACGGTTCATTAGTTTCTTCGACTATTAATATAGATGGACTATTACTTCCATTACTTCTGTAGAGCTGCTGAGTTTTTTGCTCGTTCTTATCAGCCAAATAACGTCCTGCCAATCACGCCAATGTTTACTTAATAATAGCATCTCAAAAGAATCTTAAGTTATTACATTTTGCCGTTGTATTTAACATAATTAAATAAAAGCTTGTTATTAAAAAAATATACTTGAATATATTTTTTCCTTTTAAAGGTATATATTGAAATATATTAAAAAAATATAAGTAGTCATATCTTGATGGAATAATATAATCTGTTGGTATATACAGTGTAGAATACACACGCCTAATAAGATTAAATTGTATCTGATACAATGAACATCTAATAACATTCGTTATTCTATGAAGATACTACGAAATGTATTAAACGACACCTGTTTTGTTCCCATTCTTATTTCAGATCAGTGCACTCGTGTTAATTTGTATTATACATAAAAACCTTCCTTTTGAATTGCCCTATCTATGACAAAAAACCGCATCAAAATCCGTTGCGTAGGGACAGAGAAAGCGACTGTTTTATACTGTGTAGTGTCACTCGCGTAGATTCTGAGCCAATTTGATGGAAGTCAAATCTTTTTTCTTTTTGCAATATTAATTTTGTTTATTTACACGTTAATTCTTTGTACAAAATCAAATGAAACATTTTGTATTTCTCTTAAGGCAAGACTTTGATTCCATTGAAAAAAATTACGAGCGCGGTCTTAGAGTTCTCAATTTCTCGAAAAATTCTTTCCTTTTTAGTTTGGACATTGCTATAATTCTTTTGACTAACGGATCTCGTTTCAAAGTCTCATGTAACGTGATTCTATCGAACGTCATCTGTATAACCGCTTTAGGTTGTTTAGATTCTTTTATAGGATCACCATCTTCATATTTAGGTTCTTCAACAGCCGCCGTTGTAATCCTATAATCACTGTTATTATGTTTCTCTTTGATATCAACAGGTTTTTTATCTAAATCCTCTAGTAGTTCGATGAAATCTTTATTGTAAGATCTTATACTATCCTTTTCCTCGTCAATTACTTTAATAAATTTCTCAAGAAGATCAGTTTGTGTTTTTAAGGCGTTAAAAACTCGGGGGTCTTCATAAAATGGTTGTTTCGCATCAACGTGTTTGTGAAGAGTAGATTTTGGGTTATTTTTGTGTATTTTTTCGTTTTTAATTGATCTGTCAATGGTTTCGGCTGTGTCTGATAACAGATTGAAGTGTGTGATCCTTTTCTTCATTACATATCTGTCGAAAGACTTTTTGATGTCATAATGGTCTCTAGTTAACCCTTGTATTCTATTACTGTTACTCGCGTTCGTTAAATCTTTAAATTCTTCTGTAACTCTTTTAAATTGTCCTTCTATTATTTTTTCATCGATATGTTCGTTTATATGTGAATATTCATCGGAGATAAGCGTTTGGGAATTTACTGAGCTATCTGTAACTGAAATTAGATGAATGTTATCTATTAATGTAGGATTAGAATAATGAAAACGAAAATATTCCCTTTAAACACTAAAAATAGGTGTCGTCTGCATAAGAAAAACAATGGTCCTAATATTGACCCCTGAGGTACAGGTACATTTACAGGAGAAAGTTCCTAGAAGACTTATTATTTTTAAGAACCTCTAAACTGCATTCATACATTTGAACCATATTTGCTTATTCTTAAAGAAAAATGCTAGCTCCAGGTGTCCTGAAATGGAATCTCAGGTGTTGGGTCTCGGGTAGCTCCGTGGTAAGAGTAGTCGCTCGGATAGCGAAAGCTCGTGGGTTCGAATTTCATCTCGGGGTACCTGGGACTGGTGAATTTTTTAAGAATATTTACCAGCACAGATCATGAATGCAAAATCGAGTAAAATATCACACTTGCTGAATTCGTATTTTTTAATGTAAATGTCTCAGTAAATTCTTTTAGTATTTAATTTCTAGTTGCAGTCACATCTTTTTTTTCAATGTTTAGAAAAATTAACTCAAGCATTTAGAATTTAGGGTCTATTATCGCTTAGCATCCGTTACTTTAATTTCTTATTCATGGTGCCAAATACTCACAAATAGTCAGGGTAGCTATCGCAAGCCGATAATAAAGACTATTCATTTTATTGTTTTCTTTTATAAACCATAAAATATTTCAACTATTAAATTGAAATCTCACCAAAAACACTTCATGTAAAATGTTGCCAAGACACCATATGTCGTAACTATACCGTTTGAGGCCCATGGCAAATTCATCGGATATTAAATTTTTTTTTTACTATTTCCACCACCACCACCACCAGCCCTTTTACGTCCCCACTGCAGGGGCTCAGGCCTTCCTTATGGATGGTTAAGGAGGATGGGCCATGACCCTCCACGCTGGCCCAATGCGGATTGGAGGGTATTAACGACTGCAAATGCAGCCGGGACCAACGGCTTAACGTGCCTTCCGAAGCACCGAGTAGCTCGAGATAATTTTTTTTTTTTTGGTCACCCATCCCGTGACCGACCCTTGCGAAAGTTGCTTAACGACTACGATCTCGGGCCGCGGCGCTTATCCACTATGCCACCGAGCTACTCGCAGAAACTGAAAATACCATAGAAGGCATTTTTTACTATTTGCGTAATAATAAATGTCAGGAGTAAGAAGTCTCCTCTGACCCTTCCAGTTGGGGGTCCGTAGCATTTTGCCGACTTGCCACTGTAGTTACGCCACTGTGGCTCGCATCCTCAAAAAGTTTTCAGATGTTGTGGACAGCCAAGTTTCTTACTTCATATTCTCTAATTGTACTAGCCTTAAATTTACAAACGTTACACCTTAGTCAAAACATGTGCTTTGGCGTTTTATAATGAATATACATCTATTCACTACTTAACGCTACAAATATATTTTCTTTGAAAGGGGAAATAGATAATTAGCCCACCGATTGCCGACATTTGTGGCGGATCGATATCTTAATGTGTTTTATTGACGCTTATTATGTTACTTTCAGGTAGTTCGAGGCGTTCATATAGAACCTGCGCACATAGTAAAGAAACGTAGCATAGACCAGCCTTTAAGAATAAGTATATTTTACGATGACTCTGTATATAGGTGAGTATTACAATGTCCTTCACTTCTCTTTATTTTTTGCGAGTCTCATAATTTTTCGCAATTAATACACCGACGAATACACTTGCGATGCCGAAACCCCGTGAAACGTTCCTTATGGATGGTTAAGGAGGATGGGCCATGGCCCTCCACGCTGGCCCAATGCGGATTGGAGGGTATTAACGACTGCAAATGCAGCCGGGACCGGCTTAACGTGCCTTCCGAAGCACGGAGTAGCTCGAGATAATAAGTTTTTGGTCACCCGTATATATGTAGATGTAAATACTAGTTAACTTTTTACCAAGTTTTTGCTTCAAGCGATAACCGTTATCGCAATAGCTACACATTTGAAAGTGATTCTGATTGATTTTAAAATAAGACAATTAGTCCACTGATTTCAATACAGATGATTAATAATTCATTTCAGCCGGTTCTGGAATATTTCCTTTATTTTTAATTCAATTCATCAGCATCCTATTTCTGAATGAAACGGCTCAATTTAAAGTGTAACACAAGAATCACTAATCTATCTATATTGTATATGTAAAATTTTAGGATAAATACTAGAGATGCGTGTAATATTCGTTTGCTCAGGTACTGAAATTTAATGTAGAACATAAGAAAGAAATTCCAACCACTACTTTTAATTATAGAAGAAACTATTCAGATGAAAATATTAATAAATTTAAAACTAATCTCAGTAGAATTTCTTTTTCAAATGTTTATGAACATAAAGAATTAAATATTGCTTTTGATGAATTCTATGAAACTTTTCTTCTTTTATACAATCTTTGTTTTCCCCTCGTTAAGGTTAAAAGCAACTTGTTTAATAAACCTCGATTTTTATCGAAAGGCTTAAAAAAAAGCAGTATCACAAAAAGAAAACTTCGGTTTAAATACTATTCGAGCAGAACAGAAAATGATCGATTAAAATATATTAAATACGATAAATTATTTAAGAAATGTATTAATTGTTCAAAAAGAAATGCTTACCAAAGATATATAGCTTATAGTAAAAACAAATGCAGGGCAACATGGACTGTTATAAAAAATGAAACTAATGGGATATACAATAGAAGTTACATTACTAAAATTATAAATAATGGCACCGAAATTACTGACCCGATAGCTATAGCGTCTATATTTAATGAACATTTTGTTACTGAAACTAATAAAATTAATAATAACATACAAAACACAATAAAGAAAAATATACGAAACAGCATTTTCTTGACACCTGTAGATGCAAATTACATAAGTAAAATAATAATGTCACTCAACAATACCCAAACTGCAGGATACGACTCCATATGTACCAAAGTATTAAAAGTGTGTAAAGCTGAGTTAGCACCCGTTCTATCTTACCTGGTAAATATTTCGATGCAGTCAGGAATCTTTCCAGAGAAACTAAAGTTGTCTATAGTAAAACCTTTGCACAAGAAAGGCGAGAAAACTGATATAAATAATTATCGTCCTATAACACTTCTGCCAGTTTTTTCCAAAATTTTTGAAAAGGTAATGCATAACCAATTAACAACGTTCTTTAATAAATACAAATTAATTAATAGTAATCAGTACGGTTTTCAAAAAAATAAATCTACTATAGATGCAACTTTTGAATTAGTTACTAATATTTTGGAAAATGTAAATAAAAAAAGCTTCACTACAAGTATATTTCTAGATATGTCTAAAGCATTCGACTTTGTTTGTCATGAACAATTATTGTCAAAATTAGAAAGTAATGGCATTAGGGGACCGGCATTAAGATGGGTTGCATCATTTTTAGAAAACAGAACACAAAGAGTAGAGATAACTCAACTTGATACAACACACACAACCCAAATTTATAAATCGGAATTAAAACAAAATAAATTTGGAGTACCTCAAGGCAGTGTGCTGGGCCCTCTGCTGTTTGTTTTGTATATTAATGATTTATTGGACATAAGTGAACAAAAGATGATATTGTTTGCTGATGATATATCAGTTATAGTGACTACACATAAAACTTTGACATTGGAACAACATAAAAGTGATATAACGAGTACATTGACATTAATAATGAACTGGCTACAAGACAATAATCTAAAAATTAATTTATCAAAAACAAACATAATGAATTTTAATAATTTAAAAAGACAGGCAGTTGACATCTATTTTAACGGACATACCTTAACAAATTCTAAAACCACCACGTTTTTGGGTATTGTTATGGACACAAATCTGTCCTGGAAGGAGCAGATACAAAAAAACCGTAATAAAATAAGCGGATTTACATTTGCTCTGTATAAACTGTCTAGGGTGGCTAGTATAAGTGCAGCTGTTATGGCCTATTTTGCGTATGTTGAATCTATTATTAGATATGGCCTGGTAATATATGGGAATGGTACAGATATAAAGGAATTATTTATTGCACAAAAGAGATGTATCAGGTCGATTTGTAACATAGCACCAGACGTATCATGTAAACCCTATTTCAAATCTTTGAACATTTTAACTTTGCCAAATCTTTACATTTTTGAGGTAGCAGTATTTGTTCATCAGAATATTCAAAAGTTTACAAAGGTGTGCGATATATCCGAAAGGTCGAGGCGCCATCCCCATAGACTAGTATTGGAAACTGTCCCAAAAACAAAACGATTCTTAAAGAATTGTACCTCTATGTGCCAAAATATATACAATAAAATACCATTACAATTTAAAGACCTCCCTATTAAGCAATTCAAAACATTGTTACGTCGATGGCTGTTGAACCATACCTTCTATAAAGTGGAAGATTTTTTAAATCACAAGGAATAGCATAGTCGTGGTCGATGCAGAGTTTAATCAAATGTTCTAGTAGTTTTTAATTATGTAAAAGTTGACAATTCACAAAATTATTCCAATAAATGTAATTAAATTAAATATGTTTAGTATCTTAATTAATATTTAAAATGGACATTGTTTTGTAATCCAGTTGAACTGACATTTGCATGCTAATGAAATAATATGGCTAAATAGGTCTAAGTACGTTATTGAAGACAACTATCCACTTCATTGTAACCTACCCTATTTATAGATTCGGTATTCGGCATCTTTTCACTATTTGTGTACAGCGGAATTCGGTTTTAATGCCGAATGTCTTGAAATAATTTCTTGACGACAGGAAACAATATAGTACTCAATGAAAAAATATCTCATTTGATATTTATTTTTATGTCGCAGCCAAGTAGTATAATCAGCCGACAAATTAGACGGCTAGTCGTTTATATGAATGGCGCCATTCGATTGCACGCCTAGTTTTCTAGTTGATTCATTATGACATTTGGACCGTTCTACTAGACGTCTGGTTTAAAAGCCGCCAAGACGTTAATTTATATGTGTTATCTGTTAAAAAAATAAGCTCGAAATTTAAGATCGCTACGTTAACTTATCACGTGACCTACAGGGTTTTTTGTTATTCATGTTCCGACCAGTTGGCTGCGACATTTGTATTATAAAGTCAAAGGAAGCTTATGAAGAATGTGTTGAATGAAACTAAAAGCAGTTAAACTTAATTAACATTAAGTTTTTTTAAACTTCAATCAAATATACGCTTCTTTTTAAACTTCTCTTGTTCAAATAGTGAGAATTTGTCGGTTCAGCGCGGATTTGTGGGTGTTAGCTACAGCAGATGCAGGGAAGTACTGCATAACGTTCCTTAATCACGGAGACGTGAGAATTAATACATATTTGGTTATCTATCTCGTAACAAGCCATTGGTAAAATTGCTCAGATGCTGCATCGCAGACTATACCGCTACGCCATCGAGCTTCTTATGAAATTAGAATGTATTATAATTTTTTCTTTGTGATTTCAGGTTAGAACTAGAAAAATTCGTCTTAATAAATGTAAGTATAGCGTTTAAAATGAATATTTAATTATTTTTTTCATTGTACATTTGGAAATTAAAACCTAAAAATATGATGCCTTTGTAAAAAAAAAAAACTTTTCGGCTGTCAGTTAGTTAATAGAAAAATAGTAGATTTTTGCTTTAATTAAACAAGAAATGCTTTGATAATATTAAGTTGAGAAGGGAGGGGGGGAGGGGGTCGCACTGTTATAACTGCGTCATTCTACATTTATGCCAATTAAGGATTTTCATTATTTACATAAAACAAAATTGAAATAAAATATCTGTTCGTAAATAATCTTTGACGATAAAAAGAAAATAATTATGTTTATTTTTAATTGAGATCCATTTCGTTTTCTAAATAAAGAAATCCGTCTATTTTAATTGCCTCCAACTGATGTATATTGCGAGAGAATAAAACGCCTACATTTTTATTTATAGCAAAAGCGTTTGGATGTTTATTTGCAGTGTAATTTTAGCTCGTCTTCCATACCAATATTATAGTCAGGCAAGAATTTATTGATTGTTTCTTTGCATTGAATATACTACGAAACTATTGGCCCGATTTAAAAAATTCTTCCACCTATGGGAAGCTACATTTTATAAATAATTTATTATTATATATTTACAGAACACAATATTACCAGAAGCTGTGAAGTTCTGGGAAGAAGCTTTAAAAGTTAGGAAGACTGGAGGACCAATAAGACTAAATAGGTAAGTGAAATAAGTATAATTCTTTGTTTAAATATAAATTGTAAGTATTTTTTTAACAAAACTATCTTACGATTTATAATCTGCGTATTACAATGGCCGAAACGCGGGCGGCCATTTCAAAGCAACGTGTGACGTCACATTACAATAAACTATGATATAACTCATTATGGTCGATTAATTAAACATAATAAGTTTCTATAATTGGCTTCAATGCTGCATATTTATTTTTGCATTGAAATAACAAAACTGCTGTTGAAACTTTGTTAAATGAATATATAAAAATAAAAATACTAAACGCCGACGTCTGTGTGTATGTTTACCTAATAATAGCATCTGATTAGGATGGCAACTACTTGCAGTTTGTCATTGTACTATCTACATGAAGTGTGGAACCAGTACTCGTGTTTATTGAAATACTAGCTTTAAGTCCAGAAATGAGAAAAATCATAAAAACTTTCATCCCCTAATTTACCCTTAGGGGTTGAATTTCATAATCCCGTCTTAGTGAGCACCTACGTTCTAAAAAGAACCTGCATGCAAAATTAGAAACACCTGGCACTTGTGGTAACAAAGTTTCATATTAACTTTCATCCCCTAATCTACCCCCTTAGGTGTTGAATTTCATATAATCCCGTCTTAGTGAACACCTACGTTCTAAAAAAAACCCGCAAAATATGTTTCTCCTTTATCTAATTATACTTTTTGTTGTAAAATAATTCTCATAATGACTTAATAGATAATTTAGAACTAATTTCCCCACAACAGCCAAGTAGCAAATGATAAGCTTGAAACAACATAATACGAGAAACAAAACCACATATTACACATTAATAATGGTATATTTTAATTAATCTTAAACAATATTAATTTAAAATGTCTTAAATATAATTCAAATAAATATTTATATAATTATAATTGTTCATATTTATGATGTAAGAAATTAATGATTTATACATGAGTATGTACATTTAATGTTAAATTATACAATGTTTATGTCGCAGCCAAGTAGTTTGTAATACTAGCCCTTTAATTGAATGGCGCCATTCAATTACATTATAGGGCTAGCCGCCTAATTGATCGGCTGATTATACCACTTGGCTGCGACATATATACAGCACCACAACAGCTGGTTTATTTAGTAATTTGACATTTGTGCCTACTTATAGGAATCTTAAACATTTTAAATTCACTTGACTGTGTAGTCACAGTCAAGTGAATTTAAAATTTAAAAAAATGAATTTAAAAAAAAAAATGAAATCAATTTAAAAAAATGAATTTAAAACTGGCTAGGTGCATCTGTGCGAGCGCGACAGCGACTGAAACGAGTGAGAGAGATATAATTCCGGGTTGTTCTACGAAATTCTCTGTTGAAATTAAATGAAAATATCTATACAAGTAGTCTTATTACAAGCACTTTTGAATAATCAAAAAAATATTTTTCCCCTACCACTCGTTCAGGACATCTTTTAGCTGACCAGAAGAACAAGCGAAAGAAACTTACCAGCTCTTTATCATAAGTAATGACATTTACATAAATCATGTCATTACCAAAATAATATGTATTATCACAATAATAAATACAACTTTCAAAGTCTGTAGGACATAGGTTGTACATACAATCAGTCGTTATAGGTAGAACAAAGCGAAGGCTACTAATTCCATGCATTGCGATCCTTAAAATAATCATCCTTTACTCATAAGTATATTCTTTACATGAATATGAAATTTATTTATGGGTAGGTCAATTACATTTTGTGGAACTAAAAACTGTTCGGATTGAAATAATCTGCTGAATTAAAGATCTGAATGGTCAGAATTGGTATGCCCAATTCTTTATTCAGGAAATCTTATTCAGAAGATATCAAAAACAGCTTGTTTTTCGTTAATAGAAGTTAAGAATTTGAAAAATTAACTATTTACATATTACATCCATTTTTATATACTCGTAGTGTAACAAAGTCGCTTCCCGTTATCTGTACGCTGAGAGTTTTAAACAACACAGCGGAATTAATGCGGTTCTCAACAGTATACAGAGACGCGAGCGAAGCCGCTGGAGGTAAGCTAGTTATAGATTTCAGAGGTACATATTAACTTTTTACGTAATTAGATGATTGCATGGGAAATTCTCGTCTTTCTGCTACATACATTTATTATAAATAATATATAATAATTGAGGCAAATATGTATGGTTGAATATACAGGGTTATTTATAAAGAACCAACATTCTCCCAATAATATATAATTATTTAAAATAATAATTATAATCTTTATCGCATTACTTAAATAGGATACATTACAAAAGAAACATGGCAGACAGTTTACAAAGGGCTACCTCATTGCTAAACAACAATTTCTTCCAAGAATACAGTAATAGTTGAGAAAAATAATAAATAATGGGTAAAGTGGGGAGGGGTTCAATCACGAGAGGTATATTAAATAGTAGCATCATAAAACGACGTTTGATATACCAGTATTTAATATAATTCTATACTTAGAAAAAAAATGATTTTTCTGATTTTTATTGTATTGTTGTGACATTTATATGTCTCTGTTTCATTCATAACCCATCGATCCATAGCCGAGTGGTTCGCATGCTGGTTTCAAGGTACCAGCTCTGATGTCCCTTCAGTTCGATTACCGGTCGATTTAATGTAAAAAAATAATTTTCAATAATTGTATGAGGTCTGGGTGTTGTGGTATCTTCGTTGTTTCCGATACTCCTTAATAATAACCACCCATCTTAGAGTTTAGCTACTCATAGTTTTCTTATATTTTTTAATCTAAAACCTTTTAACGAGCAATTCTTGTTTAGTATATGTAATCTGAATCTCGGAAACGGCTCCAATTATTTTTATAAAATGTAATATGAAGGAGGATTGTTTATTTTATAAATAGAACTAGTAAAAGACAATTTATAAAAAAAATAGCTAGCTAAGATCATCCAGTAGGTCAATTCTGCTTATATTATTGTAATTATGCAAAGTCAATAGTGCATCAACTACAACCTTTTATGACACAGCTCTTGTTACTAGATCACAACAATAATAAATACATCTGTCACCGATAATGTGTAAAGAAATAATAATAATAATAATCTTTATTTTATTTTCTTCTGCATTTCGAGCAACAAATGTGTACAACATAAAAATACAGCAAGTTTATGTAGAAGACAGGAGTCCAAACTAGGTAGACCCCGTTCTATGGCACTCCTGGCCTCCACCTCTCGAATTAATAACCACAATGCCACTTTTAAAGAAAAGGTTTCAAAACAATGAAAAGCAAAAAAGTATCACATCAAGTTGAGACTTGTGACCGTATACAAGCGAGTGGGCGGATGTGTACATTTTTGTGTAAGTGTGTGCTTGTGTGTATGTGTTTATAGTAAGAGAGTGTTTGTGAATGTGTACATACAAACATTCACATAAGAAGACATTGCACTAATAATATTGAACTTCAGGTAGATGGTACAATGCCATAATAAGGATGATGACTAATTTTTGTTTGTTTGGTCAGGTAGAGTGTTAAAAAATAATCAACACGTATTTTTTTTATTTTTTTCGTAATAATAAAATTACGGCGTTACATTGAGTTGAAATTTCGCATGACGTCACGTTAGAGTACGTTTTCTACTCAACTGTGACGTAGCGAGCCCCCACTCCTCAACTTTAATGCTTGTTATCTATACTATTTCTTGTTAAATTGAAGTAAAAAAAAAACACGTATCTAATATTTTTCCATTATCTGACTGAGGGACTGAATAGAATTGCATTTTTTTACCCAGTCATCATCCCTATTCAAGTTGTCGAGATTCTATTGAGGTGTGATTATTATCTTTGTTTTTGGTGTGCTGGTGTTTGAAAAATAACCCTGTATAATTTCAGTTCATAGATTTGAATTATTACACAATTTACATGTAGATTTATTATTTGTTACTATTAATAATTTTTTATGGCGCATCCATCTCCCCGTATGTAATCGTTAGGTAACATAGTTTATGTCCGTACAAAACATGGGTATTTCATAAGCGATTTTCTTATTACAATTCTTACAATAATGGTTTTTATATTTGCAGAAGTCCGTGCAGTATATAAATATCGTTATAGGTAGTAATCTGAAAAGAAACGAAACATTTATTAGAATTAATATAATAGTATTATTGTATTTTTTTATTTATTACCTCGGTAGTTAGTCGTTAAGCAAGTTTCGCAATGGTCGGTCACGGGATGGGAGATCGAAAAGTTATTATTACGAGCTACTCCCTGCTTTGGCACGTTAAGCCGTTGGTCCCGGCATTTGCCGTAGTTAATGCCCTCCAATAAAGAGTGGATGGTCATGGAATTCTTATCCATTCGTAAGGGAAGCCTGAGCCTTCGCTCCTCTGCTCTTCTTTATTTTTTTTTATTTAGATTCTTACCCAATAATTCCGAATAATATCGCGACTAAGTGTGTGGCGAAGCCAGGTTGCTTGACGACTAACGTGTGGGATCGGATACCACAGTATATGCAGAACAACAGCTTGCGATCAGGATTGCTCTCTGAAACAAGATTTTTTTACAGTCATCATCAATGGTCCTCGCTGCTGGGACTCGGGCTTTCCATATATATGGAATAGAATAGGGAAATGATCCATGTCCCAGTGCGGATCTGTTATCTTTGCGATATTTTTCTATCGAGTTTTCAATGACCTTCATCAACTGTAAATGAGGAAGTATTTAAAAAAAAAAAACATTAGTTCCCGAAATGAAACTAGATGTCGCCACGGTACGTTCTTGATTTCTCCATGACAACCTTTCCGGTTTTCTTTCAAGTTTAAAGTTTTCAAAACTCAATAAACAACTCATATTCTATTTGTACTTTTTCGTATTTGTATTGATATCTAAGTTTCGAACTTTGCAAATTTCAGTTTTTTAATATGTTAGTTAAAAGGAACGGATATGACTGTCTTTGGTCCATTCGATTCCTACAAAAATCAACTTTCACTAGAGTCGGCATCTAGTAAAGGTGCTTTTTTAGTCCTTTCTTTTTTTTAAATACTTCCCCATTCATAATCGCGTTAACAAATCTCTGGTACCCCAAAATACGCTTAAAGTTCGTTTATTTCAAAAGAAACGTGCCTGGTTCACCGTCAAAGTATTCTATTTGATATTTTTGAAGACCATTAGTATTGCTAATGGCAATTTCAAGTTAGCACACGCAACTAAACTAGTTGTAGTGTTCGAATGTTGCTGAGCCCCGCCTTCAACCCGCGGTGGGAGTCGCCTTGCAAAGGGTGGGTGGAAAGGGTACCGACTGCGCGGGAATTGGTCCCATTTTTTGGGAGTGTCACCGAGCGTTGCCCATGTCGAGAGGGCATGCCCCTGCCATTTGACTAGCTCCCAATCTGGGGGTGAGTCGCGCATAGTCCGACCCCGCGCTGGGGGAAACGGGTATGCGTAATACATTTCCTAGCGCAAATAAATAGTTGTACTAGCGTAAATTTGGCTTAATAGACTCAAGGTGTACCTGGTGGAATTATAACTTGCGTCCTGTTCGGTTCTGTTGGTGAATCATCAGTTATAGACACTGGGGACAATGCTGCATTACCAAGAGTGGGTCCCGTTGGTGATGGGGACATTACGTCACTCTCGGTGTAAGCGGGAGGGGGCTCTCTCCCCTGGTAGTCGTCTGAAGGTAGCGAAGATCCATATATTGAGGCTTCCTTGGAGAAGGAAGATGGCAGGCCTAAATGAGTGTTGCTTGGCCCTATGGAGTAGAAATGATAATGTTAAAAATGCAATTAGAAAAATAATAAGCTCGCGGGGTATACCCTTGGATGTCCTAGGCCCATGCGAGGCCTGGATGTGGAGCTTCCGACTAGATCATAGGCTCTTGAAAGGGGAGAGGATGCACGGAGGGCATTTAGTGGGTATTTCATATTCGTGTTGACTAGGCTTAAGGTGGGTCCGAGTAGATAAAAAGTACAATTTTCGAAACTTCACAGTTTATATAGAGCCATTACTAGATCTCAATAGTCTATTTATCTATTTACTTAACTATTTGTTTCTCATTACTTTGCCTGCGTAAATCATAACTTATAATACTGGCGTGCGATGCAGCTTCCTGACGGTGAATATTTCCGAATTAATATTTCAGAAGATTACCTCTTTATAATGTTAGTATAGATTCAAACTTACCACCGGTTGCTGAAACCAAATCCAGGGTATTGGGTGGTATTCTTCTGGTCGGTGTTGGCTCTGAACTCTGGTCGGCGCTGACTGTACTGGTTTCGGAATCTGATCGCGCTACTCCAATATGCCTACCCTTAAATGGGTCGTAAAATATCGTTTCCTGAAAACATTGAGAGGCCACAATTAATAATTATCGGTAGAAGAGATAATTCTACAGAGGCCGAATATAAATACCAATTATGGATTGAGAAAGTGAAGTGAGTCCTTTGCAACAACAAGTCGAATTCAAATACTAAGGACGGTTCGAGCAGGTGTAGCAAGTCTTTACCGAAATTAAAAACCCTGGCTTGTAGTATTGTGACCTTCGACGTAAAAGCGATGTTCCAGAAATGTGGTACTGGCAACGCTGGCGCGGATTCCTTGGACTTTGATTTGGATTTTGTAATTATTGAAAAATGCGAATTCTTAAATACTTTGGTCACTTTATTGGAAATCGAAATTCCACGGTACAGGAGGCCAAATCTACTAAAATTTTGACATACGATAAAAGTGACATACGATACAATTTCAGTTCTGTTTTAGCTGGAATTGTATCGTATGTCACTTAGTAGAATAAAAAAAACATTAAAAACTGTAGTTTCGTTCGGTTTCGATCCGTTTTCGATTGGATTTTGGATTGACACCATAAAGACCGCGAGAAAGACCTCCTCCACAGTGTCGTCGCAACGCTGAAGATCGCAACATGTGGAGGTGCATCGCCAAGGCAGCATTATCCAAATCAGAGCCATCTTCATGAAACCACAACCACGAACAATGTCAAGAGTGAACGACTAAAGAGAGGTCGTTTTCCAGCTGATATGTTGATGACACTTTACCTGCACAAAAGATTCCTCTTCGTTCTCGACCCTCCTCCTCTCTGCTACGTCGCTGCCGTTACTCTCAGGCATGTCTATGTAGACCACCGGCGGGTTGTCGTCGGGATCAGTCTTCGATGGTGACTTGTCTACTGGTTTTGAAGAACCAGCGCTGGTCTGAGATTAACCGAAAATCAAGAAAAAGAGTAATTATCTTTATCAGCCCTTTTACGGCCCCACTGCAGGGACTCAGGCCTTTGTTATGGTTGGTGAAGGAGACCAGCCATATCCTTCACGGTGGCATAATCTGAATTGGAAGGTATTAACGTCTGTATATGCAGCCGGGACTAGAACGGAGTAGCTCGAGATTATAATAAATCCTGAGTAAAATAAAAAAGAAATTCTATTCAGTCCATCGGTCAGATAATAGAAAAATATTAGATACGTATATTTTCAGCAGATGCCCTGAGACTTGAGGTTCAACAAGACACTTAACATAATTAGCAACACTTAAATTAGTTACTCCATTACAATTATTTAATTAAAACTACAATTAAATAACATTTTAATATAACAAATTCACACGAATTTCTAGCATGAGGTTAGAAATGCCATCAGGCCGCGGCACTTCAGAGAAAGCAATCACTATTCTCTCATATTTGACATATTCTTTTGTGTAACCAATAAATAACTCTTATATTTTGACTTAAAATTGTAACCCGTCACGGAGTTCCTTTTAGCCTAGAGCGTCAAGTCTCATTGTTTTAGATGCGTGCCTAACACTAATTTGGAATGTAAATTCAGCAGTTTTAGTGTACTTACTTGAGATACATTGGACTGGCTTCCAGAAGGTTCTTCTCTCACCCACGGTCTCCTCGGTAGATCTGTGTATCGTGCAGCAGTCGCCGCGTCTATAGTTGGAACATCTAACACTATTGGGTTGACGTACGGGTATCCCTGGTACACCCTGTCCTGACTGGCAATGGCTGCTCCGCCCCCGTAATTGTTCATTCTGAAAAACACATCATGATCATCAGTATTCTATTGGTAACCCCGCTGCTAAGGCAGAGGTCTTCCCTATGGGTGATAATTGAAAAATATCTGTTACTTCTGATTTTGTAATGGAATATATTATAGTCTAAGGAAATTACTTTCCAGATTTCTCTGTCTATACTTTTTTATTAATATTATTAAGATAAAAGATTTAATTGTTTGTTTGCATCGAATAATCTCCGAAAGTACAGGAGCTACTTTAAATATTCTTACGGGAAGCAACATCGTATTCGGTGAATATAGACTATATTTTATCCCGAAAAACAGTAAATAAAGGCATGTTAATGGGAGTAGAAGTTTATATAGGGAACGTTACCATTTGTATTCCCTATATAAACTTCTAGTAATCATTGCTTAATATCCAATTTTTATTGTAATTATATACGTGTTATGATATGAAACCTTATCCAAAGTAGTTATTAAATTGAATTCTAAACTTGGATTAACATATAGGCTACCTTTTATTGCACTAAACAGTGTCCTAGAAGCCACACGCGCGAAGCCGCTGGCAAAAAGCTATTATGATATAAAACAGTGAGAAAAAAGCAGCAATTGCTGAGTTTCTTGCCGGTTCTTTTCAGTATAATTTCGCCCGTCGTAGACTTATGAACCGATGGCAACATTTATATGTGATTGTAACAGTCTAGCTATATATGATATAGAACTCATGAGTTAAGTACATTGCTCTGATTCCGAGATGAGTATTTAAAGCCCTCGTATTATGTTGTACTCGTATCTAATACAACGAAGGTTCCACAAGACAGACACAATACAATATAGAAAAATTTAATTTCTACATTGGCCCGACCGGGAAACGAACTTGACACTTCAGAGATGGAGACACCTTGAAACCGGCGTGCGAGAAACTCAGCTGCGGAGGTATTCTTCTACTGTCTTGATTGATAGCCTAGGTTTTTAGTAAAAACCCTGATTTTATGATAACAATGCGACATATACAATTATACATACATGTTATAATGATGGTCTACATCTTTGCATGATGACAGTGTGAGTCTTCCATTTGAACATATATTTATTGTGAGATCGTCTGATGGCGTTGGCGAAGGCATTCTACAGTCTTTCGACTAATCAAAATATAATTATGAGAATTCAAAAAAATATACAGGGAGAATTAGTAATCAGTGCACACATTTTAATATTTCATTCTTTACGGTGAATTATATTAACTCACATTTTTTAACCTGCTAAAATCGGAGATAAATAAGAAAAATATGTCTGTATAAACACTTTGGTAATTATGGTCACCCTACATATACGGAGGTTAATGACCGATGTTTGTCGTTATACCCACAGTTTGTTCATTACCATTATAAATATATACGTTAATAAGTTTCAATTTATTACTATCTATTTATAAATGGTTAGTTTCTTTGTTTGTTTGTAGGTAATCTTTGGAAATACTAACTGATCCGATCATGGAAATTATTTTACGTACTGGAAGCTACATCATACGCGAGTAATATAATCTATAATTATTTGTAGATTATATTACTCGCGTATGATGTAGCATGATAGTCGATACAAAGTTTTATAACTAATTTTACATATTTGCATCTGACATACTTGTGTTTATTAAACTTAATTCCTTGACATGTTCAACAAATTTAATATTTCTAATTGACATCTTATACTTTTCTTTTTATAATTTTTTTTTACAATTTGTTAAAATTGACATGATTGATAAGTAATTAAACTGAGAATGTTTTGACGTAATTGTAATATTTTGATTAAATGCTATAACATGTACTACTATAATTAATATTGTATAATAATAATAATCTATTTGCGTTTGAATAGGGCATACAAAAGAGATGTAAAAGGTAATACAATTATCGCCTACTCAGCCATTAACAATAGCATGCAAATGTAGTAAAAGAAAATACTATAAGCACTGATTAATCCACCCCGAGTTAACGTTCAGTTTCTATAGTCTAAGAACTCATGCAACGAATAAAAGGAATTGTTAAGTTTTACACAATTTTATGTTATTATGAAATATTTTAAGTTTTAATCATTGTAATACCTACATCTATTTTTTTTTCATGCTGTTCAAGATGGCTGGATAGGTCAAAGCTCTTAAACTTAAATATCATCTCTGTGTGTATATAACCCTATTAATGGCAAATAAAGACATTATTATAATTTTGTCGCGAAGTAGGGGGACAACATCTAGTCTAAATATATAAAAAATGTGCACCAATTAATAACTCACCCGGTTTAATTTAGAGATTTTCACTAGCCTCTTCATTTGATATGTCACAGTTCAATTTATACTTTAATTTTACTAGATTTTTTATTAATTCACTATTTTACAACGCACGTCTGTCTTTATCTCCGTCTTTAATACTATTCGGTTAACTTTCTCATTAGTTTATTAACTTTATTTGTATATTAGTTATACATAATTAGTATTATTAACATTGATATTACTTTGGTAATTATTTACTTTACGTAACGATCGTTACTTATTAAGAGAGGGATGTGACGCCAAGACGCTGTCTCTGTTTATTTCATTGCGCTCAACAATGAGAGAAAGTGACAAAGGATTATTATGAAACTTGTTTTTAATTAATCATTTTAGAACTATTCGTATTATTGTGAGTTACGTATTTATGACTTTTTTGTGCCCTTTTTATAATGAGGACACCAAAATCAAATTTTCTGTAGAAATACCTACTAGGGTACTTACTCTTTATTTAGGTATCGGTTCGAATAGTAAACAATATGTACTATGGTAATGTTTTAATTCCCTATACAAACTTTCACTCCCATTGTCATCCCTGTAATTGCAGTTTTTCGGGATAAAATATAGCATATGTTCGTCGCATATGATGTAGTTTCCCGTAGGTGAAAGTATTTTTTAAATCGGTCCAGTAGCAATACAAATAAACAATTAAATCTTTCCTTTTTATAATATTAGTATACATACGTCGCCAGTTGTATAACTAGCCACAATAGACGCAAAGAGTAAAAGTATATTCTAAAGCAGCGGTCGCCAACACGCGGCCCGCGAACTTCTCACTTGCGGCCCGTGAATGTTTTGTTCACAAGTTTTAAATATCGCAATAAATACATGTACAAACCGCGATCGGTCGTATAATGTGGATCCAGTTTAAAGAACGTATCTCGCTCGCGAACATAACTAACGTAGTGTTTAATATTATAATTATACTATGGTTATATATTCTCTTTGAACTTTCGAACGAACAACGCGAGGGCTGTGCGCGGGAAAGGTACGCTCGGATAAAATGCTTAGATATTATTCTATTTTAAACAAAAACTAATTTAAATTTTCATTTATGGTAGGTACACCTTTAAAAATATGTGACAGCTCAATCAATTTATAGAAAGTGGACATGATTCTTTGTATAAAATCAGTTACTTGTTAGTATTTACTTTATAGTCTACATTCAGTGTACGAAATAAATTCCGTATGTTTTAACAATTTTAATTGCATTTTTATTTGTCTCTGGGACACGAACAATTATTCCTGGGCTATATATGTAGGTTAGTTAATTATCGCAAGTGCGGCCCGCTTTCAGTTTGTTTTGCCACCTTGTGGCCCTTGCTTACCAAAAGGTTGACAACCGCTGTTCTTAGCAAAGAGTAAATAAATAGTGAGCATAGTAAGAATGAATATATATGAAACGCACATTTAAAAGTTTATATTGGTTTATACGGAGAAATTTAGAATACTAATGATAATATACATGTCGGAAAGTCATGCGGGGCCGGCGGAATGTTAGGTTAGTCAACATCCGCAATCTGACTAGTGGTCGAGATATTCCTTCGAAATAAGATCGCATATAGATCACAAATCAGTTATTTAGTTGAATTACTTAATTATCTAATCGGAGTACATTAATAATAATTCGATGCAAACGGATTGCGATACGAAACGCGGAGAGTTCTGCGCTTGCGTTCGCTCAATATGGCCGCACAACGTAAAGTGCCATCTTCGAACAAGCATAGACCACTCCCAAGCGATGACAGCCGTCAATGTCATAACTTGACGTTTCGCAAAGCACCATAGATCTTGACAGATAACAGCTGCAGGTGACAGATGGCGTTTCGCACAATCGAAGCGCCTTCTCGCCGACATACATATATTTTTAATAATGATTAAAATTACTACAAATTATTAAATGGGTCTGACTTCGTTTCCAGTGTATGTAATGAAATATTATAACAAAGAAATATTCGTATAAAAAAATAATCATTCCCGTTCCTTTTAACTAACATAATAAAACACTGAAGCGAAACTTAGATATCAATTGTTTATTGAATTTTGAAAATTATACAATTAAACATGACAACCCTTCCGGTTTTACACATGAAAAAAAAAAACCGGTAGGGTTGTAATGGAGAAATCAAGAAAGTACCGTAGCGACATCTAGTTCGATTTCAGGAACTATTTTTTTTAAATACTTGCTTATTGAAAACGACAAAAGATGTGTATGATCTCAACACAACTCAACTCAATAAGTATACTCGGCAACTAATGTTTATATGTCAACGGTACCGAGTTTTGTCACCAAAAATAACGAAATTTGCGGTGATTATAACATGCGTTTCGACTTACATATACTCTTAATACAAAATGCTTAAAAAACCCACTTGGTCCCTGGCACCCTGAGATGAGATTCGAAGCCATGCCCTTTCGTAATCCGGGCGACTGCTCTAACCGCTGAGCTACCCAGGACCTAACAGGACTGACGAATCTTTCAAACACTTTTCCCTACTACAGAGCGTATTCTCATCAATGTTCAGGCATCTACCCAAATACCAAGGTCGTAGGTTCGATTCCCATCTCAGGGTGCCAGGGACCAAGTGGACTTTTTCAGCATTTTGTATTAAGAATAATTTTCAGTATGGCATTGCGACTGCAAAATAAATCAAAATATAATTACATATACTCTAATTACATATTAATATCAGCGCCATCTTTCCACAACCAATAGTACTAAACATAATATTCCATCTATTACACTTTTATATTTGAGTTATTTAAAATTACAATATGATAAGATAAAATTAATGTTGATATTAGTGATAAACAAATAATATCTACGTATAGAATTCCATTTGTTTTAGAGGGCAGTAATTTTGATTGAACTAGGGTTGTCACTCGTGGATCCGGTGGGCTCCTTGATGGATCCGGATCCTGGATCTTTGTCCTCCCTCCGATGGTATTTCGGTTGGACAGGGTGGTAGGAGAGCTTTAGTGTAAGGCTTAAGAATAGGCTAGTTGACTTTTTTATTTTATAAATAAATAGAGAAATAATGTACAAGTAACAGCATGTCTGTGTTTAATAGTTTTGGAGATACGGTGCTGTTTGTGGAAGAGCTGCTAAAATACTTCCTACAAATTCAAGCCACGAAGTGACGTCACGCTTTGCTGTGGTAACGAAAATCGTATGGGCGTCTGACAATCTTTGTTATTTGTGCGTTTATATTTATAGTTGTTAAGTTTTATGTAACTCATTTAAAGTCATATGTATTTTAGCAAATTTTTGTAATCTATTTTCCCTACTATTTTCAAGTTTCCAAAGCGTAATATTATCGGAATTAAATAAGTTTAATTCAATTTATTTTGTTTTATATTTTTAATATAAAATGGTTCATACATTACGAACATTTAACAGAAACCTGTATTTTCATTTGTAGGACACAACCCTATTGCCATGCCACTCATAGCTTTTTATAAAATAAATGTCATTGTGTTGTCCTCTAGGTCAATTGAAGCTTCTAGTTGACTCTACAACGAAATTACAGGGGGTAAAAAATGGCCCCTTGTGTGGTCGTGCCCTTTTTACTTTTTTGCTTGACTTGGTGGGGGCGTTACCTTGCCCTTAGATTTAACTTTATCCTAGGTCTAGGTCAGCCTATTAATCTTTCCCCTGCTTTTTCTATTATACATGTATGGAAATTTAATTAAATGAGAAGTATGGGCCATGGCATAAAACGTCTCAGAGCGGATTGATGACTTGATGCAGCCGGATGCAATGGCTTAATTTGTCTTCCGAAGTAGGAACTCTAATTAATGTAT